CTCTGGAAGGCCCTTGGCCTCTGCCTCCTTTCTCTCCAGGTCCTAGAGAGGATTATGGGGGAAGCAGAGCATTTTGGAGTGGAGTGGGGTGAGGGGTAAGGAGTGACTTTCAACTCCAGAGCAGTGGCCACAGTTACCGTGGTATTTCCCGAAAGTGCAGCGTTGCCATGGCATCTCCATGACGACCAGAGCATCTCATTCATTATCCCCAGCACCTTGGCAGGGAGAGCTGGGCTTAGGGCTGGGAGAGCACAGTGGGAGCCTGGCTGATGGCTCGAGGCCTCGGTGGCTGAGGTCCCCTCCTGCTGTCCCCCTTCGCAGCCAAGGTGTCCCTGCCGGGCTCTGGAGCCACTTCTGTCTCCTGGGGTCTGGGTTCAAATTTCAACTCTGGCACAGACTAGCTGTGTGATTTTGGGCAAGTGACTTAACCTCTCTGAGCCTTATTTTCCTCAACTGGAAATATAAATAATGACAGTAGTAGTTAGTAGGAGTAGGCTTAAATGAGGTAAGGTGTGGGAAAGTGCTAAACACAGTGCCAGGCCCGCGGTAAGTGCTTGAAATGTGTAGCAGTAAAAATAACAATGATGATGATTATAATGGTATCACTGTTGTTATTATTTTTATTATAGAAGCCCCTTGGAGGGACTCCCGATGGAGGAATGAAAGACCAAATTTGCAGTTAGGAAGGAAACCTATTTGAGTCAAGACTTAGCGGTTTCCTGTGTGACTGTGGCAAGTCATTTCACTTTGGAGCCTCAGTCTCCTTATCTGTAAATTGGGAGTAATAACAGCTCATTATGATTCATTCATATCCTGAGTACTCAATTAGGACCTATGCCTGGGGAGAGCAGTGGGGGCTTCCACGGTGAATCAGACTTGTCCCTGCCCTTCAGGGCACCCAGGTGTGTGGGGAAGGAGAAGGAACGAAATTAGTATTTGTGGAGGGCCTCTGTGTGCCAGCTGCTGGGTGCCAGGGAGGGCCTGCCCCGGCAGAGGTCAGTAAGTCCTGGCCCCGCCCTGGGATCTGGAGGCTCCAGAGTTGTGTATGGAAACACCTCGAGTCCACTCTGCATGGACCTCACGCTCAGGTGCACCCAGGGACTGAGCAGGAAGCCAAATGAAGGAAGGAGGTTGGCTGTGGGACTGTGTTAACTGGAGAGTCCATGTCTGTGGGGACCGATGGTGGCCTGTGGGGATGAGTGCCCAGTGTCAGCAGAACATACTCTTTTTATAAAAGTTAGAAGTTCTAACTTTTATGTGGAATCTCCTGATTTTGAAATATTGATAGCGAATCTCAAATTTAAGAAAAATGCCGTGTAAGCCAGAGAATGCACATTTGCGTCCTGTTTTGGCCTGAGGGTCCTGGCTTTCTGGTTTCACACTATGGAGTGGGGATGGGGCTGGCAGAAGCCTGAGGAATGGGACTTGGGGGCAGGAAAGGGGGTGGTGCATGGGGATGACTTCAGAGAGGTGATGACATTGGAACTAGGGTCTTGAAGGATGAGTAAGTGTCCCAAGGGGGAGGGGGAGGCATTCCGGCAATGGGAACTTCATTAGCAAAGGCCTAGATGCATGACCAAGATTGGTGACTGGTTGGGCGAGGCTGGAGTTGAGGAAAACCTCTGGCAGTGTCGGCAAGACCCAGGCAGGCCCAGGGCAGCGGGGTGGCGGGGGTGGGGCGTCGAGGCCTCAGCCTCCAGCTCTCCTAGAGGAGTTGGTGGCTGCAAGGGGATTAGAAGCCCCCCAGTTCTCCATCCTTGAGCCACGGGGGCTCTGGAATGCAGGTGGGCATGGAGGGTCTTGAATGGCTGGCTCCAGGCCTTCGAGGGGGTTGCGGTGGGGGTCAGTGCTGAAGGCCCCTCTTGCCAGCATGCTGGGGGCTGGCACTTTGTTCATGAAGCAGCATCTCGCCCTCCCCCACCCCCCACTCCAGAGTATTTGGCCTTCTCTGGGGACAGGAGAGGCCTTTACCCTCTCCTGGGCCTGGGCTTTGCCATGGCTTTCTCCCTGGTCTCCTGGCCTCTAACCATCTGGCCCCTGCTCATCCGTCCAGCTCCAGGGAAAGGCCACGGCCTCTGCAAATGGGGATTTGGGCTTCTGAGGACTGGCTATCAGAGACTCGAGAGGAAGCATGGAGCTGACTTGACAGAGCTTTGTGAGTTCAGTCCTTGTCCACACTGTGCCTACATTCAGTAATCAGCAGGTGTGCTCGGAGAGAGTGACTGACCCATATTTGGTGCTGTGTGCTTTATATATATCAACTCATTTAATTTTTTCTTTTTTTTTTTTTTAAAGATTTTATTTATTTGGCAGAGAGAGACACAGCGAGAGAGGGAACACAAGCAGGGGGAGTGGGAGAGGGAGAAGCAGGCTTCTTGCTGAGCAGGGAGCCCCATGTGGGGCTCGACCCCAGGACCCTGGGATCGTGACCTGAGCCGAAGGCAGATGCCTAATGACTGAGCCACCCAGGCGCCCCGCAACTCATTTAATTTTCACAACTATGGGAGCACGTCAAACTTTGCTGTTTTACAGTTTAGGAAACTGGGAGCACTGAGAAGTTAAACAACTTGCCCAAGGTCACACGGCTGCTGGGAGGTGGCATGTGGGTGTGAATGAAGCTGCCTGCTTCCGGTCTGCGTGTAACCATAAGGCTTTCTTTACATTGTTTAGGTCCATGGGTGGGTTTGAGGGCATGGGGTTTGGACTCCTTGAAATTGTTACAAGATTTTCCAGCATATATGCATTTTTTTTTTACATGCATATTTTTTATGGGAAAGTGTTGTCAGATTCCCACAGGGGTCTGTGATCCCCAGGTGCCTGACACTGCTGGGTGCATCATTAACATGCACGCTGCAAGTCTGTTAATGCAATCGACCAAGGGCCGGTGATCACAGCCCCCAGGCCTACAGGGGAAACACTGTTGGGCGGCCGGAGTGGCCAGGTGCCCCCAGGCATGGCAGACTGGCAGGGCATCCTCCGGGCAGCTGTACCTCTCCACCCACTGCACTCTGGTCCTGGCCCCAAGGCCGAGAGGTGGGGCTCACTGTGGCCGCAGGGCAGAGGGCTGCCCTTATCAGGGGGAAATGGGACGCAGTTGCAGCCTGGGAATAAACAGGACTGTCACCCCAGCCCTTCAGGCCTCCGCCCAGGAAACCTGTTCGCTCTTGCCCTGCTCTCAGCTAGAATTGCAAGGAGTCCCCAGGAAGCTCTGCACTGTCCCTTATCTCCAAGCTGAGGCATGTGCCCTTCGGCATTCCTACCCCTGGTCAACCCACACGTGTTCTTCTGGTCAGTTCAGGTACCATTTCCTCCAGGAAGCCTTCCTTGATCCTCCCCTTCTAGGAGAGTTCAGTGCCCCTGAGTTCTCTCAAACACCCTTCCCCCACTATCACACTCGCCCCCCCCCCAGCATTGTAGGTGCCTGTTTTCTTGGCTGCCTTGGGTTCCCCAGGGTGCTGGCACATAGTAGGGACTGAATTACAGAATATGGGAGGTGGAAGAGCCCGCCTGAGATTGGCCCAAGCTCCTCGCTAATAGGCAGGAAGCCCGGGGAGGGGTTATGTGCTCCGAGTCACACAGCATATCATTGGCAGAACTGGGAGCAGTGGTGGTGTCTGAGACATATCCTCATTTCACACTCCTGTCTCTTGCTTCTTGAGCACATCTTTTAAAAACATTTTTTTTTAATTTTCACAAACATAGTAAATGATTGTTGTAGAAAATTTAGGAAACAAAAAGAAGAAAATAAAAATCATTCGCAGATATCATTGTTAACATTTTGGGGTTTTTTTGGTTTGGATTTAGTACCAGTTTCTGGCTTACGCATAACAATTTTTAACAGAAATGTGACCATGCATACCGTTTTATAAATGTTTTCCACTTTAACAACATGTGTGGCAATTATATTTCTGTGTCAGGAAACGTCCTTCTTCCACATCTTGTACAAGTTGTAAGTGGCTGCCTGGGATTCTCTCTGATGCTTGCATCATAATTGCTAAGGACAATCCCCTATTGTTGGGCGTTTGCTATTACAAACAGCCTTGGGATTCGATTTCTTTTGGGGAAATCAGTACACACTTCTACAGTTAGAACCCCTGGGATAATAAGTTCCTAGAACTGCAGTTGTTGGGTCTCTGGTACGCTGTGGCCTGGGAGGGATTTTCAAGATCTTCACCCCCAGCTCTGGGTCTGAGGCTTCTATTCCCCCGTTGGCTGTGTCCGCCCAGACCCTCACACTGTCCCTGTGCACAGAAGAAGTGCCCCCAGGGCGTCAGGGTCTCTGTCCCCATCCCCATCTCTCTCCTGCTAGCTTTCAGCGCTGCATCCACTCATGTGTATGGGGGACTGGGGGCTGCTATTTGGGGTGAGGAAATTGGGGCCTTGGTTTAGTGGGTGTGGGTGTGGGGTCTTCATTTACTTTCCAGTGAGACCAATACAGGTGGCCTGCTCTGGGCAGGGACGGTGGGGCTGAAGGGGACCTAGGAACCCCAAGTTCTGGCTGCCTGATGAGGCTGCTCAGCCCATTCAGAGAGAGAGAAATGGTGGGGGGAGGCACTGTGGGTGAGGAGGAGCCGGTGAGGTTGGGGTGTTCAGCCGTGATTTAGAATTCCACCTCTAGCTCCCAGGCCTTGCAAATATTTGTTTCACTTTGTCCTTCCTGCACCTGGAGTTCGCGTGGTCTAGTCTTGGACTCTGATAATTATAAAAAAATAGCAACCACCGTCGCAGACACCATATTATACACATTATACACATTAGGATTAGGGACTTACGCCCTGAGCCTCTTGTGAGGCAGGTACTGTTGTCAGCCCTGTTTCACAAGTAGGGAAACTGAGGCTCAGAGAGACTACAAAGCTTGTGTGAAATAATGCAGCCAGGTTGGGCAACAGTACTTGAGCTTGGGCCCACCGAGGTCAGGTCCTGTCTGTCCACAGTTAGTGGACCCCGCACAAAGCCCACAGTCTGACTTTTCACCTCTGGCTCTCCTCTTCTCTCCACAGCCTTGGCCCCGGGGGCCCCACCAAGCGAGCAGCATGTGGTGCCCCCAGGCCTGCCCAGTGTCCTTTGGCCCGCTGCCCAGCCCCCCCAGGAGACCCTGACGCCCTGGGGGCACTTCTTCTGTGCACAGGACCACGTGGGGGTTTGCCATGGTGACATAAAGGGGCGCAGAGGAAGGAAGGAGCGCGACCAGCCTGCAGACTGTGCCCCTGGCTGGGAGGAAGGGCCGGGGGCCCGGATCCTCCACTCCTGCTGCCCACCGAGGGCCGCGCTTGCTAAGTGTCTGTGAAATTGTTGGTCAGTGGACGACTCTGGTATTTCCTGCGTGGGGCCTGGGGGTGGCCAGGGCACACGGGCCTCCAGCGGCCGAGGTCTCCGGGGCCAGGATGCCCGCCCTGGCGCGCCTCCGGAGGCTGTGTCGGCATGTGTCCCCACAGGCGATACTTTTCCTGCTGTTCGTCTTCTGCCTGTTCAGCGTTTTTGTCTCGGCCTACTACCTGTATGGCTGGAAGCGGGGCCTGGAGCCCTCGGCGGACGCCCCTGAGCCTGACTGTGGGGACCCGCCCCCCGTGGCCCCCAGCCGCCTGCTGCCGCTCAAGCCCATGCAGGCGGCCGCGCCCTCCCGCACGGACCCACTGGTGCTGGTGTTTGTGGAGAGCCTCTACTCACAACTGGGCCAGGAGGTCGTGGCCATCCTGGAGTCCAGCCGCTTCAAGTACCGCACGGAGATCGCACCAGGCAAGGGGGACATGCCCACGCTCACTGACAAGGGCCGTGGCCGCTTCGCCCTCATCATTTATGAGAACATCCTCAAGTATGTCAACCTGGATGCCTGGAACCGGGAGCTGTTGGACAAGTACTGTGTGGCCTATGGCGTGGGCATCATCGGCTTCTTCAAGGTACGTGGAGCTGGGGCCCCCAAGCAGTGCATACTCTGGCTGAGTTTGAGTCCCATTTCTACACTCCATAGCTGAGTGTCTGACTTTCCTCATCTGTAAAATGGGTAGAGTGGTAGCACCTACCTCCTAGGATTGTCGTGAAGGAGGAGTGAGTGAGTATATGTAAAGCACTTGGAGCACCTAGTGCCTGGTGTCTAATAAGTGCTTTTTAAATATTAGCTGTGAGGGGCTCCTGGGTGGCTCAGTGGGTTAAGCGTCTGCCTTCAGCTCAGGTCATGATCCCGGGGTCCTGGGATCGAGCCCCTCAGCGGGGAGCCTGCTTCTCCCTCTGCCCCCCCCACTGGTGCTCTCACGCACTCTCAAATAAATAAATAAAATATTTAAAGAAATAAATATTAGTTTTTACTAAGAGCACATGGCAGGGGGATTGCCTGGCACACCGCAGGCACTTGCCTAAAGGAAGCCCCGGGAACAGGTGTGAGGTAGGAGAGGCTTGGTTCCTCGAACGTCATGGCAGTCTTCCCTAAGGGACGGGTGTGCCCTCATTTTGCAGATGGGTAAACCAAGGCCTTAGGAGGGTTACCTATCTGAGGCTAGGTAGCCTGAAAGTGGGAGAGCCGGGATTTGAACTCAGATTGAGGCAGTCTGGGCTCTGGATCCTGTGCTCTTTCCTCTTGGCTCCGGTGCACTGTGGCATTTATGCACCTCCTGAACAGAGCCATTTTGCATTGGAGGAAAGAGGAGAAGGAAATCCCAACGGGCAGGTGAGCTACTCTGGGCTCCGCAGGGCACCCAGAATGACTGCTGGGGTCAGAGTCTTTGCTGAAAGTGTCGTAGAGAAGCTATCTGTGGGGAACAGCTGGATGGGGGGCTCTAGAGGCTCTGGCTTCAAGATGGGCAGTAGGGACTAGGTAGGTGCTTGGGGACATTTGCTGCTTCATTCAGCAAATATTTACTGCATGCTGACTGTGTTCCAGGTCCTCTGCTGGGCACTGGGGACACGGTGGTAATCGGAGTGTGCGGTCACTGCTGTCATGGAGCTGACATTTCAGTGCAGTGGGGTGGGGTGGGTGACAGGCAACAAAGAAGTAGACACACCATGTGGCAAGTGGTAATAAGTACAAGAAGGAATAAAGCCGGGAAAGGGCACAGGGAGTGATGGGTATGGGCAGTTGACGCTGTTTTTGATACAATGGCCACTTTGACAAAGCGACTGGGAAGAAGGGAGACAAGGAGACGCATAGGTCTTGGTACAAAGGGCCTTCCAGGCAGAGGTGACAGTAAGTGCGCAGGTCCTAAAGCAGGTTCTTTTTTGGCATGAGCTAGGAGAGGAGCAGGAGTGGGTCAGAAGGGGCCCATGTCTGCTGGTGGGGGCCATGTGTCCCCAGGCATTCGTGGGCCCTCTGGTGCCCTGGGCCCTGTGCTCAGTGTAGGGAGGAGCCTGGTTCAGATGAGGGGTTCCCACTGTGTGTGCTTTCACGCATTAATGCAGCAGGATGCTCCGCCACTAAAAGAAGGTTTTATGGGCCAAGAAATTGAAGGCCCTTAGAAGTCCTGCCGTAGAACAACCTGGTGAGATTTGTTCCCCAGCTGGCTTGATCACAAAGCCCTTTACTTCACAGAGCACCCTCTGGGAAACGCTGGCCTGGTTTATGGCTTTTCAGTGGCATAACCTCAGACTGCCTCCGTTGTCTGTTTTTTCTTTTCTTCTGGACTCTTCCATTCCCTGCCATGAACTTCATTAAGTTTGGTTCTGAGCCTCAGTCCTGAAGAACATCGCAATGGCTGACATTTACTGAGTGCTCGCCCAGCACTGTGCACTGTTCCTGTGCTTTGTGTGAAGAATGAACTCACCTAACACCCACCAGCCATCCTCTAAGGCAGGTGGATGTCATCCTGATTTAAGAGAAAAGGAAACTGAGGCAAAGAAGGGTGAAGAAATGTGCCTCCACTCATCTCTCTAATAAGCACAGATCCAGGCAGTCTGGCTGCAGAGGCTTTAGTCGTAACCACTGTGTGATGAGTCCAGGGCCTCAACCGCCGCTTATGTAGTAGAATTTACATCAGCGCATAGATCTCCTGTAGTCTCTGCAGACCAAGCAGCAGGCACAGTTGGTACACCAGAGCTTGGATCCTGTCTAGCCCCAATTCTTGGCTCTACAGAGGGTGGACATGAGGCCTCAGGGAGCAGGGATAGGCTCACCGTCTCACTGTGGGGTCAGTGGAAATTCTAGTCTTCGTGCTCTTCCTACCATATTGCTTAAGACCCCCCTTGGTCTTGAGCAGGGCCCTGTGATTTTCTGCTCAAACAGAGCCCTCTGGTGGTCAAACTCCATCTGTTGGCTCTTTCCACAAGGCCTGCGTCAGTGCTGTACATTGGGTTTGTCAAACCCAGAGGGTTTATGGACTCCAGAGGTCTGGAGACACTCACTTTCCAATTCCCATGGGTGCTGGATTCCCAGATCAGTGTAAGAGTAGGGGCTGAAAAATCCAGGCCCTGGTTCACATCTTTCCATCATTTATAAGCAGAGTGACCTTGGGCAGGATCTTCAACTCATCTGGCACCGTGTGAAGATGACAGTGGGTGGCACCCTGAGCCACCCAACAAATGGCAGCTGTCTTGCTTTGTCATCTCCGTGTTCAGCAAACGCAGCTGGTGGTCACCTTTGCCTGTCTTGTGGCTCTGACCAATATGCACCCCTCTGAGGTCCTGGGGGTGGGGGCGGATCTTCATCGGTAGCCCTGGTTCCTGCTGTTGTTGTGTCTCAGCCTCATGACACCAGGGGCCCTGGGAGTGACCATATCCCAGCAGGGGACTGACAAGGGCTACCCACCCACTTTTATTACACACTTACTATGTGCCAGACACCGAACTCATTGCTTTGTAGGCCTTATCATGTGTAATTCTCACAACCAGCCTGTGAAGTGGGCACTTTATTTTCAGGGAAGAAACTGAGGCCCCAAAGTGGAATGGCTGTCTGGAGTAACATGGCCAGTAAGTTGGGGCCGAGGATGGACAGCCACCCTCGTGCCTTCCAGCCCAGCCACACGGGAGCATGTCAGTGCAAACAGACGGACAGATGGGGGGCCTGAGACCCACAGAAGGGATACCGTGGGAACCTTGGGGGTCCCAAAGTCATCCAGCTAGTTACCATCAGAGTCTGTATTAGGCCTCTTGATTCTTGGATCAGGGCCCTTCCTTCCTCTACCTGCATGACTCTGTTGGGAGATTTGGTGTCTCCTAAGTGGGTCCTCAGTGCTGAGGAACAGAAGGGGTTCCCCTCTGGTGGGCTGAGGCCTACAGTAGGCATCAGTCTCTGCGACACTGAGGCTTGCTCTCCATTCCCTTCCCCAGCTGGCTCCTTTCCATTACTGACTGGCGTTCCCTCTTCCTCCATGTCCCCCAGCTGGGCAGCTGGCTGAGCTGCCAGCACCTGGCAGTCAGCTCAGGAACAGGGCTTTGAAATGGGATCCCCCGGTGCCTGTGGTCCAGTGTGGCCTCCCAGGCCACAGCAGGTGATGGACAGGGCCTGAAATGTTACCGGGCCCCACTGCCTTTGCCCCCACGTAGCCCAAGTAGTTCCCATCCTTGGCCAGTGCTGGGTGGAGAGGCCTCTCAGGCTGCAGCTCTGCCTTGGGTCGCAACACTCGGGGCTGGCTCAGGACAGGGTGGGGCATTGGCAGGTACTGGTGCATAGAGAAGTGAATGCAGGTCCCTTATTGCATTTTACCGGGCCAGAGCCCTGAAGAGCCTTTGTGGGAATTAGCAACAAGCATTCCTGCCTGGCAGCTATTAGCAAAAGACACCCTCTGGGCAGAGGCAGCTCCACTTGGGGCACATGGCTCAGTCCTCAGCTGAGTGTCCTTGTGCAGTGCTCACCTAGCCAGCTCTCCTGGGTGGCCCTGTGTAACCCCCCCCATCTTTCTCTCCAGACTCATTGGGTGCCCTCATTGGGTGCCCTTTGCTTTGCCCCACCCCACTCATTCTCCACTCGGCTGCCAGATGGATCTTTTTTAAAATGCAAATTAGAATCTGTCATCCCTCTGTTTGAAACCCTTTGATAGAGTCTTTGCTGGCTTCCCCTGCCACTTCAAGCCTCCAGGGTCCCATGTCTGGCCCCAGCTGACCTTTATGCCTCATCTCCTCCTCTGCCTCTTGGTCACTCTGCTGGCCTCTTACTATTGCTTGAGCCCTCTCCTTCCTTAGGGCTTTTGCACTTGCTATTTTCTTTGAATGTGGCCCCTACTTTTCTCCAGTTGATACTTAGGCATTCTTTAAATCTTAGTTCAAAAGTCCCTTCTCTGGGAAGTCTTCCTTGAGCCAGCTGTCTATGGCCAGTTATTGACTCTTCTAGAACGATGAACTTGCTCTGTGTAGCATGCACCCCATTGAAGTTTTATATTTATCTCTGTGATTTTGATTGCTGTCTCTCTTCCCTGCTTGACTTTAAGGTTCATGGAGGCAGGAGCCATGTCTGTTTCTCCTCGCTGCATCCCTGGCACTTAACATAATGAATAGTTGTGGAATGAACAAATGAAACCTGTATTGAGTAACTGGCAGGTGCCAGGTTGCCAGGTACTAGGGATCTGTCTGTTCCTTTTTATTCTTTTTAAAAATCCAGTTAACTCGTGGCTCAGTCCGTTAAGCATCCGACTTTTGATTTCTACTCAGGTCATGATCTCAGGGTCGTGAGATCAAGCCCCACCTCTCTCCCTCTCCCTCTGCCCCTCTCCCGCCCCCTCTCAAAAACAAATAAAAATAAAAATCCAGTTCTAACAATTGTAAATATCTATGCCCCCAACATGGGAGCAGCCATCTACATAAGCCAACTGTTAACCAAAATAAAGAGTCATATTGATAACAATATGTTAATTGTAGGAGACCTCAACACTCTACTCTCAGCAATAGACATCATCTAAGCAGAAAATCAACAAGGAAACCAGAACTTTGAATGATAACAATGGACCAGATGGACCTCATAGATACATACAGAACATTC